GAAAGGAGAAGGAGGGGCAGCGGGGGTGACGGTGCGAGAGCTGCTGGCAGCGCCCGGGCGGTAGTCGGCGGCCCGGGCCCGAGGAGAAGGTGGGCCGGAGGCCAGGTCAGCTGCCCGGACCCTCCGACGCAGCCCCAGACCGAGCGGCAGCAGTTTCTGTTGAGGTGGGGAGGCGCTGCCAAGCCCCAGCTAGGGAAGATGTTCAACGTGGAGTCGGTGGAGCGGGTGGAGCTGTGCGAGAGCCTTCTCACTTGGGTATGTGATGACTGGCGGGTCGGGGGAAGACCCCCTCCCCCAGGTCTCCTTTCCGGGATCCCCCACGCTTGTCGCGGGGGGCGAGCGCCGAGGGCGGCGGTGCCGTCACATCCGGGGCCTGGGGCGGGCGGAGCCGGGGGACGCCGGTGCGGGCCGCGTCTACCCCAGCGGCCGGGCTGGGCGGGGAGCGCCCGGGAGCGAGGGGACTCGGCCCCAGGTCGGGGGGAAACTTGCCGGGCTTGAGGTGTTGGCTGCCCTCCGAGAGGAAACAGGCCCGGTGGAGCCTAATGATGGGGTGCAGGCGGCACTGTGATTAGGATTGTTGTTGTTTGCAGCTGATGAGGCGCTGGCGCTTCCCTCTCGCGCTGCCAGGGACACCAAAGCGTTGGCTGTCTCTGCGCTCGGCGTAGCCGGTAGAGGCACTCGGGACCCCTGGTTACGACGTTCCTCGCCTTTGTTGTAGCATTCGCGGAGGACTGAGGGTAGCCCCTTGACGGATGAGCCAAGCCCACTGGAAGAGAAAAATACTTTGAAGGGAGGGTAGGAAAAATACGAAAAGGCACCCAGAGACGGTATTTAAAATGCGAGATGCACTTCAGAGATTAGAAAGTAAGCGGTGTGGAGATACTTATTTAAAGGTATAAATATAAAAACAAATCTGGAAGATATGTGGGTATCATTAATGGAACTCGACAATTTGGGGCGACGTTGTGGGCTTCTAATCTTAAAGTTATTAAAATTGTCATGTTTTAAAGTAAATACCTGTTTAGTTCTCATGCTAATAATTGTGCTTTTAGCAGCCTCTTCGAGAGCCGGTCCTAAAACTCAGGCTGTGTGTTTCACAAACCTTGGTGTCAGTTTTTTGGGGTCGGGGGCGTGTGTGTATGTATAGAGGTCTGCAGAGCCACGGGATAAACCTAGTGCTTTTTCTGGGAGTTTTACTCACTGCTAAAAATGTTAAATGTCATTTCTAGAATAAGACACTAATATATTTATTGAGGTGACTACAGCATTTGGGTTAATGTTAAAGGTAAGATACAGATGTCAAAGAAATTCTGTTTAGTGGTGCCTTGATTTATAAGTTCAGGTCCCTAAAATACGGATGTCACTTTCCTTTGTGGGGGCACTTCCATGGAAAGGTTAGAGAAGCATTGCCTTAGGTAGGTTGTAACAAAGGTAGTGTAAATACTGAGTTTTGGGGTTTTTTTTAGATTTTATTTATTTATTTGAGAGAGCGAACACCAGCAGAGGGAGAGGGAGAAGCAGACTCCCCTGCTGAGCTGGGAGCCCCACACGGAGCTCCTTCCAAGGACCCTGAGATCATGACCTGAGCTGAAAGCAGATGCTTAACCGACTGAGCCACCCAGGCGCCCCTACTCTGAGATTTTCATAATGTGTTCTGTGTCAGGAATCAAATTATGTCTTCTGAAACAATATACACTGGTAGGGCTTGATATATTCTGTAACTTTTATGTTAGGCTATTCTTGGGATTTCGGGGTGTTTCTGTTTTTTGCAATAATATATAGTTAACATACAGCTTACAAATATAGTGGATTCCAACTTCAGACGAGAAGATGGGTTTCACTACTCTCTTTTAGAGAAGAGAAAAACTGCTAAGCTGCATAATGTGGCCAAGGCAGGGGAGAGAGAAAGGAAAAGAATGAACACATTCTTTGATACTATGGAAGGAATAGATTTGGCAGAGGTTGTAAAAACAGAAGATTGAGGATCTTAAAGTGTGCCTTTTGAGTCTGTACAAGTAAGTTCCTCCCTCAATGCTAGGAAAAGGCAATAGGGCAAAGATGAGGAAGCTAACTGAATCTGAAGTAGGGCTTCATTGTTTAAAGTCTAGAAAGACAAGTCTTAAAAACAGGTGTATTTGAAGGGCATCTGCAAAAAGATGGTGATCATTGCAGTTATTTGAGTGAGAAATGCTAACAAAAATATAGAGGAAGAGTCTTAGAGGGAAGTTTGAAGGGATCCTAAGAGAATCACACAGTATGAGAGCATCTATTTAGAATCTGGTAAATGTCAAGAAAACAAAATCCGGGTTATCAGATATGGAGAGAGGTCAGGGAATATGGTGTTGTAGAAAAGGATTTTTGAAATGTCACAAGGAAAATTTTTGGAGAAAAGATTAGAGATTTTAAGTAACAACTGGAGGGCAGAGTCTACACAAAGATGTACAATTCTAAGATTTGGAAACATTTTAAAACCTTATGCATTGAAATGTTTCAAAATAGAGTTAAATGCTGGCTTCTCTTTAAGTTGTCATTATAAAAAGCAGAATAAATGTTTATGCAGAAAATGAGGTAGCTAAGTATACGTTTAGTCTAGTAATTCCCCTCATATCTGGAGGCCAGCTTATGCTGAAAACAATTCCAAAACCAAGTGTAAGGGAAAAAAATGTATGCAATATACTCCAAAGAAAAGACTCCCATTGGCGTGCCTGGATGGCTCAGTCAGTAGAACATGTGATTCTCAATCTCAGGGCAGTGAGTTCAAGCCCCACAGTTGGCATGGAACCTACTTAAAAAGAAAAGACAAGACTCCCATTTGGACTAATTTACTCTGCATAAACTTATAGCCACATGTGGGTTCTGTGCACACAGGTTAGGTAACTGCAACACTCGGCAAGGTACAGACAGCTGCCAGTGACCTAGAAGATCTAAGAACTGAAAGCTCAGCCCCACGTGATTCATTCTCTGAGCTGACAGCCTTACAGAATTAAAGAACCTCATGCTCAGTTATTGAAGATCATAACTATGATCTTGAATATCAAAAGTTTATTTTCACTACATAGCATTTAGTACTAGATAGGAAGTAGATAGTACACTTTAGAAATTCTTCCACTAGGAATAGTTAAAATAATAAAACCTCAGGCACTTAAAAGGGATGAGTATTAGTCACCTATCCAGAATTCATTTCTGTGGACATTGAATTGCCTTAAATGCTGGATAAATTGCTATTGTATCAGAGCACCTACTAGCCCAAGAATCAAATGTTCCAAATTTTTGTTGAAAGAGGAATACTTAAGAGAAGACAGAGTATTCTCCTACTGGTGGAAAACACCTTAAGCTTAAATTCCAAATCAGAGTTTATGCAGCAAGCAAGTTCAGCAGGATGTGCTTGAAAATTTCCACTCTACCTCCTCTCCCCACCCTCTGAGTCAAATTGTGTTCTTACCTGTTAAAGAAATCTGCCCTGCCTACTACACCTGTCAAGCCTAATTTCTTTTTTTTTTTTTTAAGATTTTTTATTTATTTATCTGAGAGAGAGAATGGGAGACAGAGAGCATGAGAGGGGGAGGATCAGAGGGAGAAGCAGACTCCCCGCT